TAATACTAACACAAAATGTAATATAAAGAGTCGCCGCAAAAAGTATACTAACTAAGTCAGTCGAATAAAATAGCTGTTGTCGAAAACAAGGAATAAAAACGCTTTAATCAAATTTCAAAGCATTACTCAAATGCATTTAGAATATATGAAATTTTGCAAAGCGCCGTGCTTAAATCGAAATCGGCGTGGCAGTAACCTGACCTTTGAAACGGGCCTAATAGTGAAAAGGCATGTAATAAAAGATATCCGATCTGTCACATTTTTTTTTTCACGAGAACCAGATAACTTTGGCAGAAGTTTACTTTTTGCTAATTTTTCACTTAATGGAGGCTCTGAATGTGTTCTTAATGCTGTATTTTTATGTCAAAATTTCTTTTATTAGGAAGTTCCCAAGCTTTATAGAGTCCAAACAGTTTACCTGGCAAAGTAGTTGTGCGGCCTGATGCAGACAGCGCAAAAAATTTTTAGTTCGCCCAGCAACGGATTGTTTTTTTTTTTGGAGTAGAACTGAGCTGATGACACAAAAGTATTGTGTTTGCCCGGGAACGCACAAGTTGTATTGTTTAGTACGTCTGAATTGTTTGAGTGGTCAGAGATATACTCACACCAATAGTCGGAGGAATACTCATTAATTAGAAATATTGTTTACAATAAAGTCAAATGCTTTAGCGAGCGTCAAAATATCATAATGGGACAGGTCCTATTTTGGCCCTTGCGAGTGTTTATCACCCTACGAAATCAGCCATTTCATCTCTCGACGCATTTCCCCAGTTGTCAACCTAAATTCTGTCTTTTGTAGCTTCAGGCACCTAACAGAAAATGTGCAATAATTGAACAGAAAAATCTACAAATGCTCCTGATTTGGCACCTATATTACATTCAAAAACGGAAACAAATATACGATTCGGTTCGCTATAGATGATTGCATCTCCTTATTTCAACTGTTATTTATTTATAATATTTATAATAATACCAATATTAATATCAAGAATAATATTATACTACAGCTGCCCCCCGTTCTGTATATTGTCGGTCAATAGTATTCTTGCTGGTTGTGTAGCTCTTTGAAATATACCGATTCAGGTATAGGTCTTAGGTCTTAGGTCTTAGGTCTTAGGTCTTAGGTCTTAGTTTTCCGGACACCCTGAGATAAATACAGGAAACGCTAGGTTCCATGCACAGTTTCAGCTCGCGATCGATTTACACAGCTTTGATCAAAACATTCTCAGTTTCGAGAATAGTTTATTCTTAACCATAAGAAAAGATTTAATTAGAAGTTGGATTTTTCGCTATTTCTCTTTCCCTTTTTACATTCAGCTCATTTTATTTGCCGGAAAGTAAGCCTTAGAAATTAAAAGGACGTTTCATCGATTCACGCTAGCGCATTCTAGTCTTATTTGAAACTTTATAACGGAAGGACATCTCTGAGCAGGGAATAAGTCAGCACAGAATTTGATTGTCGGCGAATTTCTGTAAATGTCCATCAATCTGCTAGTGATAAGCTAGCCGTTGTTCACTCGTCTAGCTTGTTTGGGGCTGAGTGTTATTCCGGTCAAAGAGAGAGAAAGAGTGTCTGGCAAGGTTTCCAATATAAATCAAAATTTGTGAACTCGTGTCTGGCAAACTCTCCAAGTGTTTATATATACACAGTTAAACGCACCTTATAACCTCCTCTGCGCTTAACGAGTTTGTTTTGGTCCATAACTTTCAAAACAACTGCCTTACAGAATGTCACTGCGTAACGCAAAAGAGTATCGAAGTATGACTGCACAATAAATTTCACAAAATCTACCTAAGCAGTCCCTTCGGGATTTTCTGTCTTAACGTCATCCTAACCATTTCAAACTTGCGGGCGCAAACAATGCAAACGTCATCATTACCTACCGATTCCTCGCAGCCCCAGTTCGAGCAAATCGAGCTTTTTTCTAGTATACTGACTGTATATTTGAACTGTAAGTACTGTCCTTGATATACGCGCCAGTTACTAGGGTGCCTCCTCGGGATTTGCCCCTGGGCGAAATCCGTGCGGGGGCAATAATAATAATAGCGAAGCTCCATGCGCGCGCTAGGCGCGCGGGCGGCGCCCCATAGCTAAGGTAATCTACCCATCCCAGAAAATTTGGTAATCACGTGACCGAGCGACCGAGCGACCGTCCGTCCGCACCACAGGCATACCAATGTTTACTCTCACACTTTCTAGCCACTTTGGGAGCCCAGGAGGAAGCTGATTGCACATCAATGCTGTCATCAATTGACAGCTGTCAAAACAGGGTATCCGCTGACCAGTATCACCTGACCGTATCGCGAGCTTAGGTGTCGACCCATCAAGGTCGAGTATTTTGTTGAAATTATCCGCTGACAATTTATTCGTTTTCAAATGATTGCAGGCTCACGTTTACTTTTTTTTAAAATTCATATCAAATATGTTGTGTTTATGTTAGTATCGCCCCGCACTATTACGATTTTGATTTCAAACTGACCTCAGACGCAAAAATTCAGCCAATTTTTTTCAAATACAGGCGGGGAAGACCTTTTCTTACCATGGTCACATGTTGGTCACGCTCCACGTCCAATTTTTATGCTCTGATTGGTTAAAATTTGTTCTTGCCACGAGAACATAAAATTCGTATCTTCGAGCCAACGTGTAATGTTCTTTTTATTATATGGAGAAACCAATTCAACAAAAGCAAAAGGCGGGAATCGTGACGTCATTGAACGATACGACACTCACAAAGGTGACATACGGAAAATACGCCACTCGGGTCCCGGAGGAAGTGGCGTATGGAATCTACGAGTGGTTTAGTTCCCAGTAAAACACTCCCCTCCATATAATAAAAGGCTATATCAAAACCACTTGACTTTTCAATGGGAGCTTCGATTTTAGCCGTGGCTAAATCTATATATTAACCTATATATATTAAATGAAAATATGAATCCGCTACTGATTACTGAGCTAGCCACAACTTCGGATATTATTAAATTTTACGTTTATTACATTATGCGCTAGAAAAGTTATCACATTTTGCGTTGAAAATTTTTGCTACATTTTGCGGCGTAACAAAATTATTTAAGAAAAGGTACAGAATTATAGTTTTTAACATTTCTTTGGCCAAGGAATAGTATAGTAGTTTTTTTTTACGTTACCGCTTCTTTTCATTTTAACATTGTAAAAGTCATTTTTAACATTGTAAAAGGGTGAGAAGTAAAGCAAAGTAGAACAATGTGGATTGACTGTGGCTTGTTTTTAAAACGCCGAGGTTTACCTTTAATTTTGACCAAGTTTAATCGCTGGTTGTTTACTGAAAACGATATATAGTGAATAACTAACTTAAGTTATCATAAAGACGCAAATTGTGTATGTCGTATAGGGCTCAACACTAGGTTTATGTAGCCTGATGGTTGCTCGCTTCTACATATATCGACACATATTTATTAAATTCCGCTCATAGCTTGATAGGCTGTAGCGTCAAATTTACCTGGAGATAATTATGCAATGGGTACCTAATTTGTTAATAAGGTGAAATAAAGTGGACTGAAAGCAAATCCTGCTCTTCAAAATAAAAATAACAAAATAGCAACCTATGCACCTTCTGTTGATGTTCTTAAGAGACTTGCTAAGTACCGAAGCATCGTTGACATTCGATTCCGTCAAAATATATCTTCGTTTTTGATTGGCTCAGATCCCACTGGTTACCGTAAAATTTCGAAAATAAGCCCCTCCATGTATAAGCCCCTCCAAATATAGGCCCCCCAAGCCGTCAACGCAAAAAAACCCTCCATTAAGTCGCCTCTCCCCCTCGGGGGCTTGTACTTGGAAAATTGCCCCTAAATGCAAAGTAAAACAAAGCAAAAACGGTAAATTTACTTCCAACTGTAAGCCTAGCCCAATCGATTTTGAAACGAAAATTTCCCTCCGTAGATAAGCCTCTCCGAATTCAAGTCCCCTCTAGTGTTGAACAAATTTGGAAGATGTTTTCGATATCCGGAATAAAACGTTAATAGAACAGGGTAATCACCAGAAAAGTGAGGGCAAAAAGTCCTGGGGACGAGGTTTCGCTATTTTGGTAAAGCAGTAGAACCATATAGAAAATGGTGGAACTGCTTTGCGAAGAAGTAGCCGAACTACTGCCTCAAAGCATAGCAAAAACAGCAAGCATACAACTCGAAGGACAACTGCTACTTGAAGAATATCTGCAGAACTAGACATCCCTTTTTATTGAAAACTGAATCATTTGATAATGCAATTCTAGAGCTCTGATTGGCTTAGCCATCACGGTAATATTACCATTTTACCATGCTCTCCAAATTTTGTAACTGCACGCGTCAGCTCAAAATTAAAAACAATATTTACATTTTGTGGGAGTTTTTAATAAAACAATTATTCCACTGGCGCTAGTTGGATATGAGATGATTATAGCCAATTCGGCGCTACCCGCCTCGTTGACTTAGTACCATCTAAAATCCAAAGCGCACTCGTGCAATGATTGTTAAATACCTGAACTTGATCTGGAACAGGCAAATGAAGACCGGAACTTAACATCGAGGGGATGCTTTAGCTTGTTTTTAAACTAGGAATTATTT